TGGTACATACACACAATGGAGTACTATGCAACGAGAAAGAACAACGATGAATCTGTGAACCATCTCGTAACATGGATGAAACTGGAGGACATTATGCTGAGTGAAATAAGTCAATCACAAAAGGACAAATATTGTATGAGACCTCTATTGAAAAACCCATGAAAAGTTCACACACAAAATGTAACAGTCTTTGTTGGTTACCAGGGATGGGGGGGCGGAAATACTAAATAGGCAAAGATAAGTGGTATCTTGGGTGAAGGGTGAGACAGTGCACAATACAGGGGAAACCAACAGAACTTGTACAAGGAAAGGTCATGGAAACTCCATAGACACATCCAAACTCCCTGAGGGACTGAATTGCTGGGTGGAGGGCTGTGGGGACCATGGTTTCAGGGAACATCTAGCTCAACTGGCATGGCACAGTTTGTAAGGACAACGTTCTGCATTCTGCCTTGGTGTGTGGTGTCTGGATTCTCGGAAGCATGTGAGCAGCCATCTAGGATGCTCCACTGGTCTCATCCCTTTGGGAGCAGGGAGAATTAGGAGAACAGGATACAGGAAAAATATTGGTCCGAAGGACTAATGATCCACAGCTACCGGGCCCTCCACCAGACTGAGTCCAGTACAGCTGGATGGTACCCGGCTACCACCACGGACTGCTCTGACCGGGATCACAGCAGGGGGTTCTGGACAGAGCTGGAGAAGGATGTAGAACAAAATTCTGACTCACAAAAAAAAAGACCAGATTTGCTGGCCTAAAGGAGACTGGAAAGACACCGTGAGTGTGGCTCCCAGACACCCTTTTAGCTTGGTGGTGAAGTCATTTCCGAGGTTCACTGTTTGGCTGGGGAGTGGACAGCCCCCTGAAACCAAACGGGACTGGTGGGGCACAGCGGTTCAGGGACGGGGGCTGAGGGGTTGGCGGGGATGGGAGAGCTGGTTGTGGGGGACCCGGGGTTGAATGGGGATGGTGTTGATGTGTTGTGGGGTTGCAGGCCATCATCACGGGGCAACATGTGTACTAACTCTTGGGTGGGAGGCCATTTTGTTCTGTGGGCCTTCATCTGGCGTGAGAGTGGCAGTGCAATTGGAGGAGCGTGGTCGATGTCACTGAACTGTGCATGTGGAGATTTTTGGGGTGGTGTGTCTTTGGCTGTGTGTATTTTCACCAAAAAGGAGGGTCGAGGGGGGAGGCGGTTGGCATGGTGTGGGGTTGTTGACCAATGTCGTGGAACAATGTGTGCTGCTGTTTTGTGGGAAACTGTTCTGTGGGCCTTCACCTGAAGTACAATAAAAGAAAATAAAAATTAAAAAAATAAAAGAAAAAAACACTCAATATTAACTATGTATTCATACATGAGTGTGCTGCATATATTATCACTTTCTGTTGTTTCCTTTTTCACACCTGAATTTCATTTTTTTCTAGATTAAACACTTATGATTGATAAACTACTAAAGGAGTTTAAGTCAACAGATAAGATTCCCAAAAGTAAATGATAAAAAGCAAGAACTGCTCATAAAGGTGGATAGCAAGAGACCTGGAGCCAGCTGTCCTCACTGGTCTGAAGCGCACTGGTGTTTGGAAAACGGGCCGTGAACCGCTGCAGCCACCGGGGGGCGCGCTCTCAATCTTGTGTGTTTCCCGCAGGGGAAGGAGTCGCAGGCTGTGGGGACACAGCTCAGGAGAAAAGTGGTTGGGTGGGGGACCAAAAATACACAGCAGTTGTTAAAGATGTACAAATAGGACCCTTTACTCCAGCACAGAAAAGGTATAATGATCCAATTGAAAAATAAAATATGAATTAAACACACTGGAGTCTGAATTGACTCAATGGAAGTATCTTTATTTTTTGGTTTTCACTGCAGAGCAGGAGACATGGGGTCAGGTCCGGTCAATGTGCCCCTTTGGCCCCTAGGTGGCGCTGTGACTCTGCTGAAGCCCCTGAGGCTGATGGGGAGGGGCGAGGCAGGAGGTGGCTAATGCTCTGGCCTCAGGATTACCCCTTGTCGTCAGGCTGTGCTTGGACGGCTCAGGACACTAAAGTCCACTCCACACTCAGTTCCCCAACAGTCCCTTTGGCTCATGTCCCCCGGGGCCTCCTGTTACTCTCTTGCAGCCCCCTTGTAAGGGCCAGCTCCAAATCAGGCCTGGCCCCCAAGTGGGTGAGGTGTCCCCTGGGCTAGGGGCTGCGGCCTGATCCTCTTGGGTCCCCCTCAGCATCCACTGAGGGGTGCTTGCTCCTTGGTTAGCATGATATCCCTGTGCTGTAATGAAGCCCTGGAATCCGGGTGGTGCAGTGATTAACAGCTCAGCAGCTAACCAAAAGGTCAGTGGTTTGTACCCACCAGCTTCTTCTTGGAAACCCTATGGGCAGTTCTGCTCTGTCCCATAGGGTCGCTATGAGTTAGAATTGCCTTGATGGCAATAGAATAAAGCCCTGCTGTTCCAGGGATGTGTCCCCATGAGCTGAGCTAGGCCAAGGGAGCAGGGGCTGGAGTGGTGTCTCCGAGGCTCCTGAGAGGCAGGGGGAAGGCATCTGCCTGGTGAAGAAATCTGTGGGGGATGTTGTTGTTGTTGTTGGAATCAACTCACAGTGACCCCATGTGACAAGTAGAACTTCTGCATAGGTTATTCTAGGCTATATTCTTTACGGGAGCAGATTGCCAGACCTTTCTCCTAGGAAGTCACAGGGTGGGTTGGAACTGCCAACCTTTCAGTTAGCAGCCAGGCGCTTAACCGTTGTGCCACCAGGGCTCCTCTGTGGTGTGAGTTGCGTGTGGTTGATTTGATTCCGACTCATAGTAACCTTATATGACAGAGTAGAACTGCACCATAGGGTTTGCTAGGCTGTAATCTTTATGGGAGCTGATCACCAGGTCTTTCGTCCCAAGGAGCAGCAGGTGGGCTCGAACCACCAACCTTTCAGTTAGCAGCTGAGCTCTTAACCACTGGGCTGAGAGGAGGTGCTATGAAGTAGAAAGAGGGAGTAGAGACCCAGGTATTCCTTGTGGGGGTGCAGTTAAGGGCAGTTGGTGGGTGGGTCTGATCCTCCAGACCTGCCCATCCACACTCAGAGCTGCCTGGTGGCCCAGACCCACCTCCTGCGGTGCTGCGCAGGGCAGGCGGGGAAAAGGACAGGTGCGCTGTAGAAGCCAGCGGAGCAGGGACTTCACAGGCACACCCCTCAGGGCTAAAAAACCCAGTACCTCCTTTCTCCCACCCAGAGGATGGAGCCTGAGCAGGGAGATGCCATCCCGTCCTGTCCTCGCTGCTATGGGCTGCGGGCTCCTCTGCTGGTGGTGTTTTGCCTCCTGGGCACAGGTGAGTCCTAGGCACAAGTGGACATCGCTGTCCCAGGGCTTCTAGCTCTGTCCATAATGCTGCCTTATAAGACCCTCCCCTCGGCTTAGTTTTCTTTCTTGCCCCCATAGGCTCTGCAGACTCTGGAATTACCCAGAGACCAAAGTACTTGGTTGTAGGCATGGGGATCAAGAAATCTTTGATATGTGAGCAGCATCTGGGACACAACAGTATGTACTGGTATAAACAGGTCCCTGAGAAGCCCCCGGAGCTCATGTTTCAATTCAACTACAAGGAGCTGGTTACAAATGAAACTACCTCTAGTCGCTTCTCCCCCAAATGTCGAGACAGCTCTCACCTGTACCTTCACGTGGACGCCCTGGAGCCCAACGACTCTGCCGTGTACCTCTGTGCCAGCAGCAAGGACACAGCCCTCCAGAGTCACCCTCCGCCCATGCACAAACTTACATGACCCTATCTCTCCCCCAGCAACCAGCATCCCTTTCCTGCCAAGAGAAGGAAGTCAGGTCAGGTGCAGCTGTAGCCCGATAAACAACATCAGAAACGAAACTCCCAGGGTGAGACATCTTGGGCAGGAATGGCCAGTGGCTAGAGGATTTGCAGAATCTTTAGTGACATCACAGGGTGTGATGGTGGGCTCCAGGGATGAGAAAACTGTTGTCCAGACAGTGTCCAATGAGGTCACCCAGTGGTCAGGGTTGCCTTAGGGAAAACAGCTTAGGAGGCAACTCAAAGGAGGTCAGGGAGTGGACAAGGTGGCACTTAGGGACAGCGAGCCCATGTGGCTCCCTACTTATATACTGCATATTGTTGTTAGTTGCCATGGAGTTGATTCCAACTCATGTCCACCCGATGTGTTACAGAGTAGAACTTCCCCATAGGGTCTTCTTGGCTATAATCTGAATGAAAGCAGATCACCAGGTCTTTCTTCAGTGGTACTACTGGGTGGGTTCGGACCACGAATGTTTAGGTTACAGTCAAGCACAAACCGTTTGAGCTGCTACCATGTTTAGTACTTGAGTAGTAGTTGAGTAATACTTCTTATCCTCCTTTTGCTTTGGTTTGCTTTTTGTTAGCTTGTTTTCGTGGCTTAGAAAAGAAAATCACATTAACTGGGAGGATGGAGGGATGGGTACTGAGTTGGGGTCTAGGTATTGACATGAGCTTATAAAGAGAGGATCCCCAATGGGGGACCTGCAGAAGGACAAGGAGCTTGGCACACGGGCCTGAGTATCAGTGAGTCTGGCCAGCATGTGGTCAAGACCAGCAGTATCTGATGGCCCTGCCAGCCTAGCCTGGAGCACTTGGGGAATGATGTTGACCTACGTGAGAATGAGCTGGGAGAACCGTAATCAAGGAGTCCAGTCTTGGGGCACAACCTCAAGACCAGCAGAGGGCTATACCAGCAAAAAAACCACCAGAATAAGCCAGTAGTGCAGGATAGGAATTCAGCAGAAAAAAAATCAAATGGCGTCTAGGAGAACAAGCAGAAATGAATTTGTCACTCTCAGCTTGACACAGTGCAGCTAAACTGACTTCCCGGGTTTCGGTGAGACCCACTGTTCTTGAAGAGTTGGAGTGGGGAAGGTGGGGAGAAGACTTCAAAAAGAAAAGACTGGATTTCCCCATGGAAAGTTATGGAGCTCAAGCAATGAACTGGGAAAAAGTCATGAACAGGTCATCTCAGTTATAAGCACATGGATCGCTTCTTTCACTTTCTTTCATGCCGGCACCACTATCTGAAGGCTAAAAGACTGACTGTCTTAGTCATCTAGTGCTGCTATAACAGAAATATCACAAGTGGATGGCTTTAACAAAGAGAAATTTATTTTCTCACAGTCTAGAAGGCTAGAAGTTCAAATTCAGGGTGACATCTCCAGGGGAAGGCTTTCTCTCTCTGTTGGCTCTGGAGGAAGCTCTCCTCATCAATCTTCCCCTGGACTACGAGCTTCTCAGTGAAGGGACACCGGTCCAAAGAAGGCACTACAATCTCGATGCTTCTTTCCTGGTGGTATGAGGTTCCCCCGTCTCTCTGCTGGCTTCTCTCTTTTATATCTCAAAAGAGATTCATTTAAGACACAACCTCATCTTGTAAATTGAGTCCTGTCCCATTAAGGTAATTGCCACTAACCTCACCTCATTGACATCATAGAGGTAGGATTTACAACACATGGGAAGAGCTGTAATCTTTACAGGAGCAGATCTCCAGGTGTTTTCTCCTGCTGATGGTTCGAACCACAGACCTTTCCAGCACTTAACCACTGTATCACCAAGGTTCCTTAGAGATAGCAATCACCAGGTGGAATCTACCCAGCAGACCAATGGAGACCAGAGCCCCACTCCCTGCACCCTAGAACATCAGGGAACTGTGCTCATTAGAATGGGCTTATCCTTGTTCCCTCTGTGGTGGCCCTCTGATTCCTCGGAGTAGAAGAGCTCTGAGCAACGACAGGAAACACCTCTTTGGGGTTTGACAAAATGGTTCTATGAAATGGCAGCCACGGGTTTCCCTCTGGGCTGGGCCTGCAGCTTCTGTCTCTGTCTACATACCACTAGGTGATGCTGTGGCCCTACCAAACCCCAAGGCTGGGGCTGGAGGACCCCAGAGCAGGGGATAGAAGGAAGAGGGCGGAGGCTCTCAACAGTCAGTCCCCTCCCCCTGCAGGGACACTTGGCAGTATCTGGGGACAGTTTGATGTCACAACTGGGGAATGGGGTGCCACTGGCATCTAGTGGGTAGAGGTGAGGGGTGCTGTTGACCTTCCTACGATGCCCAGGACACCCACCATCACCACCACCTAGGACAAAGAATTATCCAGGGCCATATGTCAGGGGTGCTGAGGCTGAGAAGCCCTGGAATAGGCACTCGGTGTCCAACTTTGCGCCAAGAGGGAGGGAGCATGTGGACCATCGAGGACTGTGCAGTTGGTCCTTCGTGGATTTCCCAGCTTCCGGAGCACTGGGGATCTCTAGCCCTACCATGCTGCCACTACATGGTGCTTCTCCTTCTTGACCATCCCTCACACTGCCCTGCCGTGACCAGGTCAGGATACCACAGGAGGGAGCAGGGCTGTGTGTCCCCTCAGGCATTCTCTAACAGAGAGCTGTTCCTGAGGAACTTCAAGTTCAGGGTTGTAGGTGGGGCAAGGCGGGGTCCCATGAGGGAGTCTAGGGCCACAGAGTGTAAACCAGACCTACCAGGAGCACAGACGTGAGGGAGAAGCAGAGACCCAGAGAGGGAAGCTACCTACTCTGAGGGAGGGGCAAAGGGAGGGGCAAAGGGAGGGGCCAGGCCGGCCCTGGGGAGTGGAGGGGCAGCAGCAGCACCAGAACAACCTTCAGAAGGGCATCCTGGGGGCCACTGCCCACCCCGCTCAGACTACCCTGCATTTTCTATGGTACCTGGAGAGGAGCAGGTACCTGGTATGAAGAAGGGGAGAGTGTGAAAGAGGGGCCCCTCGGTGGACCGTGACATCACAGGCAAGCACCTAGAAGGCATAAAGTCCTCAGCCGCCTTCCTGCCCGTGGACCCCCCATCCTGACTGGGAGCTGCTGCCTGTCCACCCTCCATGGGCTCCCAGCTCCTCGGCTGCCTGGCCCTCTGCCTCCTGGGGGCAGGTGAGTCCTGGGTTCAGGGGACAAGCATCTGCTGTGAGCCCCCAAACCTCTCCCCGGGGCTCCAGCACAGGGGCCTCCCTGCTTGATCTGAACCCCTCTCTGTCTTCCACAGGACCCCTGGACTCAGCCGTCTCCCAAACCCCCAAAAACTTGGTTACACAGATGGGAAGCCAGGGGTCCCTGTACTGTAAGCAGGACCTGGGCCACCAGACCATGTACTGGTACAGGCAGGATGCTGCTGGGCTGCTGAGGGTCATGTTTGGCTACAGTAATAGGGAACCAATTTTAAATGAGTCTGTTCCCAGCCGTTTCTCCCCGGAATGCAGGGACAAAGCTCTTCTGAGCCTTCATATCAATGCCCTGGAGCCGAGTGACTCAGCCCTGTACCTGTGCGCCGGCAGCAGAGAGACAGAGCTGCGGAGCTGCCACCTCCCTGAGCATAAACCCAGCCCAGCAGGAAGCTGTGGGCACTGCTCCCCTGGGCCCCAGGCTCCCCAGGCTCCATCAGCATCCTGGAGGATCCCCACAGACATTTCAGACCTCAATGCCACCTGCCTACCCGCCCAAAGGGCAGCTCTCTATCCGTGCACATATTTAGGGTGTGGATTTTCTTTACCTGAGAGTGACTATGTCCTGTCAACTGATTAAAAGATAAAACATTTGCATTTATTTATTTATTTATTTTTAATGCCACAAGCCAGTTTTTTTTTTTAATCCCACAAGCCTGCTGAAAAGTGGGCATTTGCTTTAGGTTTTGGCAGGCATTCTCTAAGATCCTGTGCCCCATGACCCCACACAGGGCAGAGGATGACTGGAACACTGTCCTGTGTGGAATCTATGTCCCACAGTTTCTGAGCCCTTCCTTCTCAGAATCCAGGGAGCCAGGGTGAAGCAGCTTGGAGATTTGAGGGACTTCTGGGCACAGGTCCCAGGGCTGGAGCCAGCTGCAAAGGACAGCAGGGAATTAGCCCTTGGAAACCAGTCTGGAAAACACTTCCGTCTCTGTCTCCACCAGTTCTATTACTCTATATTCCAGCTTCCACCACCCATCTGTCAATTTGTCGTACTGTGGTGGATTGTGTGTTACTATGATGCTGGAAGCTGTGGCAACTGGTATTTCAAATACCAGCAGGGTCACCCAGATTTCAGGAGAACTTCTAGACTAAGATAGACTAGGAAGAAAGTCCTAGCAATCTACTTCCTAAATCAGCCAGTGAAAACCGTATGGAATACAACAGAACATTGTCTGACTCAGCTGTTTTGGACACGTCATCAGGAGGGATCAATCACTGGAGGAGGACATCATGTTTGGTGAAGTAGAGGGCCAACGAGGGTGAGGGAGACCCTCGGTAAGATGGACTTACACAATAGCTACAGCAATGAACTTGAACGTGCCCAATTGTGAGGATGACACGGGACTAGGAAATGTTTCGTTTCGTTGTACACAAAGTAGCCATGAGTCAGAGTTGACTCAGAGTCAGTGGTCTGTCTGTCTGTCTATCTTATCTGTCTACATACCTACCTACCTACCTTTCTATATTCCAGCTGGTCTCTTCTCTGGCTTCTCTTTTTCCCATGCAAGGTTGGACCCCAAGCCTAGGCCCTGAACAAAGCCCCAAGTCTGCTCAGACACTTTCCCTGAGCAGCAGGCAGCACAGGTGACCCTGGCCCCTTCCGCCAACGCCAGTCTGTAGACACTGGTATTGCTCACCTTCCCCACATCCTCCTGAAAGGCCCTTTTGGATTGCAGTTCTCAGCTCCGCCCTGGATTCCTTTGCACACTGGCACTAGCAGGGTTAATTTTTCCCCTGGGTGTCTTTATTCTCAACATTT